AAAATCTGATCGCAATCCTTCTGTACTTTATGAGTGGCCATAGCAGATTCTGATTTACTAACCCTTTTCTCTTCGCCATTATCCTAAAGGATCGCTTACTTCTTTCCTTAAGAGTGAATCCTGCTGGCTTTTTATACAGATATAATGTGAACATATGTCAAAGATTGTACTGAAATCATTACACTTATGAGACAATACGATGGTCATATCAGTCTGAAGAGTATTCAAGAACCTAACAAGTTAGGAGAGGCTTAATAAAGGAAGGTTGAGACAGCTGAATGTGGTATGATACTGGTTATATAGCCAGCTATAATTTTCGAGTTTACTTGTCCCACCGTAATGAAATTATTTGCACTTACACCAGAAAAAAATTTAAAATTAACCTCTGTTCTGTTGGAGTTATAAAATAGCCCATTTATTATAAAATTAATCAAAGTGTAAATCTGGCATGGAGACAATAGATTTGTAAAACCCCATGGCTTTGACTTCAGCTATCCTTTCTGGAAGAGTATATAAATATGTTGATTTATCTCTACTACGGAACCTTCCAAATAGAAATAGTTATCATTCAATTCAAATTGAAATTTTAAGATGGAATGTATCTTTTTCCTTTGGCCTTTTGAACATATTTGAAAATTATAGCCAATGGTTGATATAAAGTTCAGATACTACCAGTTTCCCTGCATAAAACCAACAAGGCTTCATTCTTCTCGAAGGGCTGCCGAAACTATGGAGGGTGCAAGCAAAAAGGCTCTCACAGAGTGCATGCAATGTATGCCATTTAAACATTCAATGTGCTTCGTGTTTATTCTTCAGTTTATTTGGTATTTTAGGGACTAATGGCCAGAGATAAAAGGGAACCCCTTTTTATTATGTGGACCCCAAGTAACTAATGAGAAATCAGGAGGTTATTGTTTCATACTTCCCAGACTTAAAAATGAGTCAAAAAGTTTCTCAGTTCCTGAGGACATTTAGTAATATTCTGAAAATTCCTTGTGGCTCTTTGGCTGCTGCAAAAGCAGTTTCTTACTTTGGCTTCAAAAGTCTGTTTAATGAAGGCTGCTGTGCTACCGGGTTCTTGGACAAAGAAAGTCTTGCGTTTGTTCACATCTGAGCACTGCTTTCCAGAGGCGAGGTGTCATATGCTATACTAATGACGGAGACAGTGGACATGATTACATTGGCATCCATGGGGTTTATTTTTGTTTGTTTACTACTTGGGAAATTAAAAAGTGCCTCTTTTCTAAAAGTGAGTAATAAAGTAGAATGTATTTTTTTTTACAGAGAAAAGGATCAAATTCCTATGTAAATTTTATACTTTTGTTAGCATCTTGATGTATACATATAAGTAATAATAATCATTATTATTTTGCATAACATGGCCAAGATCTGATGGCCTATGGACCCATGAAAATATTTGAAAACTTTGTCTCTACTGAAATTCTTCTCAGTTTTTATCAGAAATTGTATTTTATCTTGGTTTTTATCTTAAACTGCATTCAAAAATGAATTGTTTCATTTTTCAAGTGTGCAGGGTGATTTTTTTTTTTTTTTTTTCTCTCCGGTACCGGGAACCAAACTCACGACCTTGCACTTGTCAGGCAGGTGCTTTTGCTGCTGAGCTAAATCCCCAGCCCCCTAGATTGTTAATGTTATGGTAGCGTATACAACAGAAACATGTACTATCTTATTTGGAGAAGGGAAACTAAGTATTCTAGGAGGTTAAGAATGAATTCTGAGCCTGGAAGAAGCATGTGAAAGTCAGAATCTGATCCTGAGGCCTGGGGAGAAGCCAGGAGGGTGAGCAGGTATCTGCTGGTGTAGGGCTCTTATTCTGTAGGCAGAAGTTTGACCTTTATTCTAAAAGAAATTGGGGAAATTTAGTGGTATTAGGCAGGATATTGCATTTTAAACTATTGCTCTGCTCACATGGATTAGATTAGAATGGGAAATGGAGTAGAAAAGGACAAATTTGGTTGTGGGGACACAAACCAAAGTGACACCTTCATGGTTCCCGCAACAGCTCAGGTGCTGTCCTTTGGCAGACCTGAAGTACTGTAGGTAAACAGGGTGAGGGGTTTAACTTGCGCTTACGATAACTAATATTTGTTGATTAGCTCAGTATTTAAGATGAGGAGGAGGCCGATATGAAGAATCTTTGGTTTTGAATTGAAGAACAAACTTGATTATGTTCTACTTACTGAGATATATAAGAGCAGAGGAGCAAATTTGGGAAGATCATGGAATCTTTTCTATATATTTTGAGATTGATTTGCTTGGAATAAGATCCAGCCCAAAACAGGGCCAATTACATATTTTCCAGGGCCAAGAGCAAAATGAAAACATGGGGAGCCTTGTTCAAAAGTCACTGAGATTTTCCAGAGGGTGAACACAAAGTAGGGAAGCAAGCCCAGGGCCGGGCCAGGTCCCTCCTGCCTGAGACCAGTGGGGAGCGGAACAGCGTAAAGAGATGCCTGAGCTCAGGTATTAACTGGGGAGTTCCCGGCAGAATGGAACGGAGTGAATGGCTCAAGGAGAGAATGTACAAGGAAGAAGAAAGACAGCCGTGGGTTAAGCTCTGAAAGAGTTATGATCGCAAATTTGAAGGTTAAGGGAAAAGTAAGTAAGAACATAACCCAGAGAGAATTTGCCCTATTTAGAAGAAAAATCAGACAGATCTGCAGGTGATAGGGAAGTCAAAGGAAGCTATGTTCTAAGAAAAGGGCAGTTATCACCTCTGCCAGTGTGCTGGAAAGACAGAGACAAAGGGCATTTCTTGGATTCGGTGGTAGTGAGGGCTCTGGTGATCTTACGAAGATTATTTTCCACGGTGTTATTGAGGATGGGAATAAAACATCAGGACCAAGGATGGAATTAGAAGTGTGAAAGATAGAAAATAAAATATTTAATAAGTCTCTGTGATGGGGAGGAGGGAATACAGTGGATGGAAGATGATACAGTGTTGCAGAAAATGTTTTTTTCATGTTACAGAGACTTAACTATGTAAGTCTGTGTGATAGTTATCTATGGATCTGTCTGCCTGCTTGTCTGTCTGTCTATCACAAGATGAGAGAGAAACAGAAGAACTGGACTAAGTGAAGACAAATCCCTTTTGTTATAACACAAGAGATAGAGGTAGAAGTACATATGCTTTTATAGAGTGAGAACCTACCAAGAGCTTATGTTTTCTTTGTCAAGTTATAATGTCGGTCAAAATTAAAAGACAAGGGGCTGGGAATTTAGCTCAGCGGCACATCACCTGCCTGGCATGCGCAACATCGTGAGTTCGATTTCTGGTACAGGAAGAAAAAAAAACAAAAAACAAAAAATTAAAAGACAAGTGGTAACAGTGAAATTAAGGAATGTCTGGTAAAAAATAGTTGTGCATGAATGAATGTAAGATAATTATAAACACTAGTAAAATTTAGATGACTTTTTATATGTGCTTTAGGAGAAAGTAATATTAAAAACAATAGTTAATTTCACAATAATTTTAGACTTGTGGAAACTTTGGGAAAACAGTACAGAGTTTCCAGATACTCCAGAGCCAGTTTCTACTCTTATCAGTATCTTATATTAGTAAGATGGCAACACTTGGTACAACTGGTTCTGGTACTAGGGAATGAGCCCGGGTCTTTCTACGGAGCTACAACCAGCCGTTTGTTTATTTAGTTATTTGGTCTCAGAAAATCACCAAGTTGCCCAGGCTGTGCTTAAACTTGTGACCATTCTGCCTCGGCCTTCAGGAGTGCTGGGACTATAGGCTTTGTCACTATGTGGGCCGCATCCATCTGCTTGTTTTTCTCTGACATCTTTTCCTTCCCAGGTACTTAACTATACTCCATCGCATTTCTTTAGGCTCCTCTTGACCATGACAGGATTTTAGTCTGTCTTTCTTTTTGACAAATTTGCTTTGAGGAAAAGTAGGTAATTGTTGAAGTGACCAAGGAGACTGACAAGAACAGAAAAGAAAACGACAGCATTAATATTTAGGCTGAAGGAAACAAAACAAAGCCAACTGAAACACAACCGGCAGCAATCGTCCAATCACCTCTTCCCTGAGTATCCCTTGCTTCGGTGCTGAGGCCTAACATGTTAGTAATCTAAATAACTCCTTATTTTTTCTCTTCATCATGACGTTGGAGGATTTTCCTTTTGTTTTTCTTTTCTTTTTTTCCCCATTGGCAGTTTTTATTAAAATACATAGTAGGTATCAGCATTCTGCAAAAGCCATCCTGTCATTATAAGTAAGAAGCAGCTGGATTTCTGTGACAAATCTCCCTGCCTTTGTTGTCAGCTCTTGTCATAATAAGAATAAAAGCAAGATAGCATAACCTTTCTTCTCCTTTTCTATTTTTAAATGAAAGACTCACTATTTTCAAATGATATCTATCCAACAATCTGTGTATGAGAATAAAAATTCATGTTTGACTTACTGAGAAAAAAAATATTCCCAAGGCTAGGTTGCTAAAATTTTGCATTTTGGTTAAACTATGATACTGCATCATAGAGACACAGCTTATGAGAAAGAACTGTAAGTTTGTAATTTTACATAAATTTTATGTGATTCATCTACAGGATATGATGAATAGAGCCAGTGGCCAAGATGGTTTTATAAGCGTAACCTTTCTAGAAAGAACAGAATTGTGAGGCTACAAGCAGGCAGATATGAGTTTAATTAGTTTTATAAGGAAAAGAGACAAATTACACCTTTCTTAAGAAGCTTTATATAAAAATCATGATGGAAGAAGCAAAGGACATGAGGATCTGCTTTATGTCAACTATAGTAGAAGTGATAGAAGAGGAGTGTAGGTATCTTGTGCTGAAAAAATTGAAGGGCAAAAGAATATGCCATTCCAAATGATGCCACTTTGATAAAATAATTATTTTGAGCTGAAGCAATTGGAAAGAAGCAGAGAGAAGAAAAGTTCTCTGTCTTCTTCCATTTACTTACAAGTAAGACATGAATTCACAAAGGTGTTTCTCTGCCTCTTCACTAGGAAGGACGGAAGTTAGTAATGAGAGGTGGACTTTGAATCATCGGGACCTTCACCTGGAGGCAGCCCCAGAAGACTCCGCAGAGCGAACCGTACTCACCGCTCTAGGTCTACTCCGTCAGATTCTCATACACTTGCCTTTCCACAATAGGGACTCCCAACCCTTTTTCCTTTTCCGTCACTCCCCTAATTAAAAATAATTACTATTTTTTGAAGATTTTATGTGCGAAAAAGTTGTAAGTCAACTCTTTGAAAGTTATTCTTTCCCTGAGTAATATACATGTTAATAAACTCATGTTTGTTTGTTTTTTTCTTGTTAATCTGTCTGTTGTTACAGGAGTCCCAGCTGAAAACTCCGACGTAAATTACTTTTCCTCTCCGACAGCCTAATGGGTAACAACGATATAAACATCTGTAGGATTCTTGTTTCATAATAAAGGCATTATTTCAAAATTATTTGCCAACTCCATTTTATCAGTACACCCATCTCACACTCTTCTGAAGACTGGTTGGGTATCAAATTACTCAATTAACAAACACTTTGCTAATCTGATAAACGAAAGTGGAGTCTCAGGTTTCAGTTCTGAGTAAGATGAAGTAAACAAGTTTCCTTCCTTTCTTTCTCCCTTGACCACAGCTATATTACCTGTACAGAATGGATTGGAAGTCTATGTGAAGAGTCTGAAAAGAGTAGCATCAGACAAAGGAACGATGCCAGAATCTGAAGCACCAGGTTGCATTTACCATTTTCTTTTCCTCTATTGTTGCCCAGTTTGTACATACCTTGAAACTGAAGTAACACTGTTAGGTGCATAGAGAGAACTCCAGGAGAAACCCTCTAGTTCTGGTCCTAGGAATTGGAAAAGAAATTCCTAGCAAGAATATGGAAATCTCCCCTTGTGTTCTACCTTCTTTTTCTGCATTCTGTCATGCCCCAGTGCCCCCACAATCATGAAAAATACAGTAAAGCCCCAAGTAAAGTAAAGTAAAATAAAACATACTAAAACCCCAAATTTCGGATTAAAGTATGGAAAAAAGGTATCCCAATGAAAAAGAAAGTAACAGAGATCACAGAAAGGCATAAAAGGGTTTAGAAAATTAATTCTTTGACGTTCTTTTTAAACTTCAGGGTTCAACCTGGAGACACACATCCACAGATCGCCTCCTCTCGGTATAACTTTCTGAGAACCGAGTGATGGGTAGAATACCTCTGGGTGCCAATGGCTTCTAAGCTGCACCAAGGGGACACACCTAAAGAATTCTGCAAAGACTTTGAAAATTGAGATGACATTGGAAGGAGGATCCAGAGAAGACACGCTAGAACCTGTAGCCTGAATTTAGTCACTTGCCCATGGAATAAAAAAAATCTCAATATTTTCCATAGGATTTAAATTAGACACAGAATTTTGTGACATAATATTAAAACTTCCCAGAATACAATTCAGAACTATTCAGAATACAAAGAACCATGAATATTTCAACTTATACAAAAAAATGCAACACTTATCAAATCCTAGCTACACTACTTTTTATCTGTGACCACAAAGCAGTTACATAACCCACTATTTCTACGTTGATTGTAGGGAAAGTGGAAATAATAGAACATATCCTCAAGTTATCATGCTATCATATACAATATTAGAAAAGCTGTGTTCACTATTCATTAAATTGTATACCTTAAATATGTGGCATTTGTTGTATGTCAATTATACCTAAATAAAGTTATAAAATAATGAAACATGATTGTACTTTTATTTATAGTAATTAACATATATCAAATTTTGAGTTTCTCTTTTAATAATAGTGACAGGTAACATAATGTTATAAAAACTGGTACTCAATCTATAGTAAAGCTTTAAGCAAATGTGCTGTGATAGTTGGGCCCAAATGTTATGCCCAAGACATTGTGCTGAAAGACTGATTACCAGCTCATGGGATCTGAGGAGTTAAATAGATCATGAGGGCTCTCATGTCATCAGGTGGATAATCTCCACTGTTAAATTTATTCCTAAGTATAGCATTTTTTATAGTTATTTTAGTTGAGTGTATTGTTTTGTATTCTTTTTCAGAATAGTTGATGTTAGTGTATAGAAATGCTACTGATTTTTTATATGTTGATTTTGTATTCTGCAGTTTTGCTACATATATGTATTGTCTTAGCAGGGTTTTCTTGATGGAATCTTTAGAGCTTTCTCTATGTAACATCATGGTATCATTACACGGTGACAATTTCTCTTCTTTTCCTACTGAGGCTTTTTAGTTTTTTGTTTTTGTGCCTGACTGATACAGCAAGAACTCCTTTTAGTAGAAGTGGTTAGCGTGGGGCATTCCTGTTTTCTTCTGGATCTTAGATGAGATGGTTTCAAGTGTGTACTTTGAGTATAACACTAGCTGCTGACTTGTCAGCTCTAGCCTTTATATAGGATTTTGATACTGAGGTACAGTACTTTTATACCTAGTTTATTTTATTTTTGTCATTAAAGGATTTTTTTTTTTTTTTTGGTTTTTCTCCGGTACCAGGAACCGAACTCATGACCTTGAGCTTGCCAGGCAGGCGCTTTGCCACTGAGCTAAATCCCCAGCCCCAGGATTTTTGAATATTGACAAGTATTATCAGCATGTATTGCAATGATTGTCTTGTTTTTCATCAGCACTGATTTGCTTACGTTGAATCATCATTGTATTCCAGGGATACATCCCACTTGGTCACGGTGAAGGATCCTTTTATGTGTGGTTGAATTTGGTTTCCTAGTATTTTGCTGAGGATTTTTACATGTATGTTCTTTAAGGTTATTGGCCTTGTCTGGCTTTGGTACCAGGGTAATATTTGCTTTATTGGTTTGAAAGTATTCCCTCTTCAGTTTTCTGGAAGAATTTTTAAAGAATTTGTATCAGTTATTACATGTTTGTTACAATTTAGCAGTGAAGGCATCAAATAGGTATTTCTTTAATGAAAGCCTTTTTTAATAACTGTTTCAACCTCCTTACTCATTATTGTTCTGTTCAAATTATCCATTTGGCACAGCGGTGCAAGCCTGTAATCCTAGCACTTGGAGGCTGAGGCAGGAGGCTCATCAGGAGTTTGAGGTCAATGTGATATACATAGTGAGTTCAAAGCCAACCTGGACTACATAACAAGACCCTGTCTCCAAAAACCAAAATGAATGGATGAATAAGTAAATAAATTTTCCATTTCTTCATGAGTCATGCTTCATAGGTTATATGTGTCTAGGAATTGAGGCATTTCCCCTGAATTATTTAACGTGGGACAATTATTGTTCATAATATTCACTTATGAACCTTTCTATTTCTGTGCTGTCAGGTACAATGCCTCCTAATTTTACTTCTGATTTTTTTAGTTGATTCTTCCCTCTTTTTCTTAGTCTAGCTGAAGTTTTCACTATTTTATCTTTTCAAAAAATCAGACTATCTTTTGTAATAGTTTTGCAGTTTTTATTTCCTTTATTTCTGCACTGACCTTTATGATTTCTTATGCTAATATTGGGCTTACTTCATTGCTTTTCTGTTTGCTTGAGCCATAATGTGAAGTCACTTATTTGGAATCTTCTGTTTTGATGGTCATTTGTCTCTATAAACTTTCCTCTTAGAACTGTCTTTGCTAATACACAAAAATTTTAGCATGTTCTATTTTCATTTATCTGAAGACTTTTTAAAATTTCATTTTAATCCCTTCACTGAACTCTCAGTTGTTCAAACATATTCTATTTATTTGTGGATTTTCTGAAATTCCTTCTTTTATTGACTTATATAGTTATATAACATTGTGGTTACAAAAGATACTTTTTAAAAATATCACTTATTTTAAACTGGCTGAAGCTTTTGTCCTATCATATGACTTGTGCTGGGAGATGTTCTTTGAATATTTAAGAAAAATGTGTATTTTATTGCTGTTAAATGGAAACTTCTGTGTATATGCTAGGTTTATTCTTTCCTTCTGCATTTTTTTAACTTGGGGAATTTAACCAATTTACATTCAAGGCAATTATTTATAGGGCTTTCAACTGCAATTTTGATTGCTTGCTGGCTGTTTTGTAGGTTCTTTTTTTGTAGTTCAGTGGTTTTCTAGGTTCAGTGGTTTGCTGGTGATATGCTTTGAATTCTTTATAAGGTTGATTCTTTTCTCACTTTTTAAATTCCTACTTTGTTAAGTTTTTTTTTTTTTAACATGAAAGGGTACTGGATTTTAAAGTGATTTTTCTATATTTAATGAGAAGATCATGTTTTTTTCTTTTGATTTTTAAACTGTTCTAATTACATTGATTGATACTAAAGATCAATCAACCTTGTATTCCTGAGATAAATCACACTTGACCAAATGTGTTTAACCTTTTTGTATATTGTGAAGTTTAGTTTTGCAATATGTTGTTTAAGGTTTTTGTATCTGTTTTACTTTTTTCTGTGGGAATATATACTTTAAAATTTTTCTCATATATATATGCATTACAACATTTGCTAACACTGGTAAGAGCTCTGAAATTAGTTTAAAATTAAACTAAGACTGGATATCTTACCTGACCAGCAGGACAGTCTTTTTCCCAAAACTCCCACTCCCTAAACCTGCCAGTGGTGGCGGTTTTGGGTGCGGCCACCTCAGTCCCTCTGCACCTTGAACTTGTCCTTTTCCCTGTGGATAGCACGGACGGTGATCTGGGGGTTCAAATCACTGTCCACTGCTGCACCTTCTCCCTCCCGCACAGGAAGTGGGTGAGTCCCTCTAAAGACGCAGCTGGCACCGTGGCCTCCCATTGGTGGACTTCTCCTTAGCCCAGGCAAGTTTCTCCTGAATGCAAGTGTTGCTGGGCTCCAGAGTGTGCCAACTTGAGGCTGTCGGTGGTGTACTCACGGCCACCGCAGACTCTCTCGCGTCTGGAGGGAGCCGACCTGAGACCCGGAGCAGTGCTTCCTCCATCTCATGTACAGTCTCTTAGAAGAGCTGCCCACAGCCAGCCACAAACAGGGTGTCACGCGTGGACACAGCAGGGGGCTCTGCAACCCTGGGCTTGCCCCCAAAATAACAGATGTGTCCTGAAATATGGCCTGGTATCCACAGGACTTTGATGTCAACAGACCCCCCTGCAGTGTAGATAGGTGTGTGACTCCGTGAGTCTAGGCCTGGATTCGGTCATTGCCACTGCACACCTGTAGCCCTGGCTCCAGCCTGACCAGCTTCTTGTTCCCCCCAGCACGGCACCAGTGGTGGTGGGTGGTGAGCACTGCGGTCGGCTTCACACCATGCTGCCTCACCATTTCTACCGCCTTCTGCGGTTGCACTGGCTCCAGGACAGCAGACTCCTGGATACCCTCACTGAGGAACAGATAGGCGTAGCTGTCAGCCAGGGCAGGTAGTAGTTTGATCTTCATGGCACCTTACTGCAGTCACGCTCTTCCTTAAATCTGAGTGATGCAGGGGATTCCTAGCAGGGCTGGGCCTTACCAGGCAAAGCTGGGGGCTCCCTGGTGTGGGAGGCCAGGCCTGCATGGACCTTCTGCCTGGCCCCGGATGCAAAGGCCTGTAGTTCTGGGGACCTCAACAAGCGGGCTCTTTCCTCAGCAAGGGTGTGTCACCCACTCCAGAACCAAAAGCGCTGGGCTTAGGCTTGACAGCTCTGGGCACCGTGACTCGCTGTCACCACAGAGACTGCGGGAGGCGGGGCCGGGTGCCCACATGTCCACCGACCCCTCCACTGTCCTGCTCTGTCAGTCAGGGGTATTAATATGTAATTTTCCTTCTAATCATTTTTTGTTCTGTTTTGATATAAGAAAAGTGCTGGCTTCATAAAGTAAACTGCATAGCATTCCCTTCTCTTAAAGTTTGAGGAAATTATTCTACAGATTTGATACTATTTTTCCCTAATGTAACTAGTGGGAGTATTCACCGGGGTAGCAAATCAAGTCCTGGCATTTGTCTTTCTAAGAATATGTCAACTACATCTAAGTTGTCTAATTCATCGACATAAATTTCTTTCAAATATTTTATTACCAACCTTTTAATATCTGTGGAATTGCTGATGATTTAATCTCTATGAGTCCTGATGTTAGGTATTTATATTTTCCCTCTCATCAGATTTATTGATTTTCTTAAACATTTTTGAATTAATTTCCTCCTTTTTAGCTACATTGTAATTGATTTTCATCTTTGTTACAATGTAACCAATGTATTATTTCTATTTATTATTCCTTTTTCTGCTTAGCGTAGGTTTAAATTATTCTAGTTTTAAGATGGAAGTTGAGATCATTGATTTGAGACTATTCTTTTTCTCTAACAGCACTTTTTTCCTGAGTATCAGTCAAGAAATTTTGATATAATGGTGTTTATCTTTAATCAGGTAAATGAAATAATCTATGAGTCAAATAAAATATTCATAGGAAAATTAAAAATATTTTGCTTACTTTATTTACTGTATTGATGCTTTCCAAATAGTTGTAGTTCCTAGGGACATTTCTATTATGTTTCTCTAATTCAGTTCGATTGTGGTCAGAAAATGTCTTATACATAAATTGAATCCATCTACATTTAGTGAGGCTTGTGTTCTGGCCTATATCTTGGCATACATATATATAGTCACTGATTTAATTTTATTTCTTTTTTTCCCCCTGTAGATACTTGTACCATTTTGGATGGTTTCTGTTGACTTGTCTTCAAATTTTCTCTTCTTCTGTAACATCTCATCTGGTGTTAATCAATTTGGGCGTAATTTT